TGAGTTCCAACCCATTTTTTTTGCTATTTGATTAGGATTTAGACTTTCTATTTATGCTAAACCTCTTCTCTTATCATAAGAGATTATTTCAGTATATGTAAAAGTTATTTTAATTACACAAAAAATATTATGTGGTCTTAAAAAAACAAATAGATAAGAAAGTTTGGATCAAAAATACAGAAAAGGATGGCAATAAATACTGTATAACGTTATACATCAAAAATCGGGTATCACTTTGTGATACAACTGTTCAAAGGGCTGCTATAGTCTCTGAACACCATTTTTAGATACGATTTCATACTGGTTACATCATATGACATAATAATAATGCAGGTACATGATGTTTCAGGTCTTGTTTACATGAATCAAACTTAATAAATGTGTGTTAGTTTATTTATTTTAACTTTAAATCAAAAATAAACTTTATTTTCTGAAAACAATAAAAATATTCTAAGAATTAACTACTAAACAAAGAGGCACTATATTTTTTTTGTCACCAATGTGGTGATAGTTATCAAACTATTATCTCGACCATTGCTTATGGAGTGACAACAGTATTTGATACTTTAAAAAGAATAGATGAAACTGAAACCATAAATTCAAAGCCTTATTCTGGTTAACTACCTCTTATTAAATCTTCACAACATAATTAGCTTAAGTGACTTGTAATTAATAATAAAGGAAAAATTATTACCTATGCATATCAGAATTTTTCTAACTTTAAAAGAAAAAGATCGATCAAGTTATTTCACCTCACACTATTGGCTGAACATTCTATTCCATTGGTTTGAATAATTGTATTGCTCAAAAACCTCTAATCTCACTAACAAATAAGAAGACACGTCTTACATAATGTTTGAAATATCAATACTGGACAAATAATGATTCGATAAAAATTATGTAAAGTGATGAATCGATCTTTCTCAATTTCAACAAACTCAGTGTAAAAGAGTATAGCAAGAACCTCAAGATGAATGGAATCTTTCTTGTGTTTTTATCACAGTGAAACATAGTTCAAGCTAAATATTTTGGGGTGTTTTTCAAGGTAAAGCTTAGGACCCATTATTTTATTGTATGAAACAGCAACTAGGGCATCACTAAGGTTGCTGGACGAAATCAAAAGTTTAGACAGATGTCTAAATGGTAAAAGTAAAACTTGGTTAAATTATATTAAAACTTTATTAAAAAATCTGTGAAATTTGGAAAAGGTAAAACTATATCAAAGCTTATAAAAATGGCGAAATTATATCAAACATTTAGTAAAAATTTAGCGAAACTAAAGGTTTAACTGTTTTTTCAAATCCAAAATAAGTTTAGATAAGCAACCTTAGACATCACTATACATGAAGTCGAAATGGATTATTTCAGATATCTGAAATAGTCGAAATAGTCGAAATCATTTCGACCATTAAAGGCTAAAGTCACGAAATAGTCGAAATGACGTCATATAACATGATTTTTCATATTGAGAAAAAACAATAAACAAAAAATATACGATCTCGGTCAATATCGCTCTGATTCGTATGAAACAACTACCATTCGATTCCCCCAGATTCCTTCTCCTCATACTCTTCCTCGTTAGATTTTTTCCAAGAAGTTTTACTTAAAAAAAGTGCCCATTCAATGGCGGTCGCAGCTTAGCCTGCGAATAAACAAAAAAACCCACCTTTCAAAAATATTCCTTTCTTTGTTCCCCACACCCCTATCCACATAAAATTTTTCAAAATAGTCTAAACAGTGTTATTTTTTGTTAAAATATTTTTTTGTTCAGCTCTTTTCAAAAAAATTTTTTCCATTTTTCTCTTTTTCTTTTTTGCCTACTAAAAAGTGAACATCAAAGGGTATCCCAACCGATGATCATGATCAACATACTTTGGATAAACAAATCTCATGTAATGACACCTTTCCCCTTCCTAAACATTATACTCTCTTTTGATTAGCCTCTGCCTTTCTGCAGATCCTCTGTCATCATAGATTACGTGTAAATTTAGCATGAATTATTATTTTGTTTCTTCATGAGGTCTTCTATATGGTGTGACAGTAGCTACCATTTGGTTTGTATTTTATCGGCCTACCGTAGTTTTAAATAGAGCTCTGAGTGGTCATTGCCATTTGCTTACTCAGTGTAAATTCGCTTCGTCTTGATCCGTTCCTTCCTGGTAACCAGGTAGAGGGTATAGGTTACTATCTGTTGATTTATTGTAGGGCTCTCATAGTGGATTTCGCGTGATATTTTTTCTGTATTTGTGAATCTACAAGTATGAAGAGCCTCTGTTTAGACCTTTTTTTGAACACACCCTCTTTGGTCGGGTGGTTGTTTATCCAGAATTAACTGGACATTTAGGTTTTTATAGAATTGTGTTGCCTTTTTTAATAATTTCTATTTGTACCTATTTCCCTTCTTAGGAGGGTTATTAGTTTTTAAATTTTATTTAGAAGTTGGGATCAAAGGGCATTTAGAAATTACGTTGCTGTATTGACAACCTCATTTGAATTTCTTTTTGATGGCTTAATCATTAAATATGGATTTCTTGGTTGGGTTGGAGAGGGATTCCAGTAATCAGTCGATCTAAATAGGTTTGAAAGGTGGAGTTTTTTTGTTTGTTCGTAGACTAAGCTGCAGCTACCATTGAACAGGCACTTTTTTAAGTAAAAATTCTTAGAAAAAATCCAACGAAGAAGAGTGTGAAGAAGAGGAATCGAATGGTAGTTGTTTCATACAAATGGAAGCGATATTGACTAAGATCATATATCTTTTGTTTTTTTTGTTTTTTCTATATAAAAAATCATGTGATATGACGTCATTTCGACTATTTCACGATTTTAGCCTCCAATGGTTGAAATGATTTTGACTATTTCAACCATTTCGGATATCTGAAATGATCTATTTCGACTTCATGTATAACTATGACCTATTATTATGACTAGTAATAAACATAATATTTGGTCATTTTTCAACTTCTCTTTGATCTTTACTGAACATATTTTGACATTAAACTATGCAAATATAACCAGGTTTTCTGATCAGAAGATCTTTTAACAATGCTTAACTATTATATCAGCCATATATGTTCCTTCACTTTGAGACTCAACAAACTTTGAACTAAAAGTGGGATTTTACCAAATCCTTTGAACATAATTTTTTTTCACCACTTCAATCGATTTACAAATTAATCTATACAGTCAAATCTTAATATAACGAACCCTTAATATAGCGAATTTTTAAATCAAATATATTAAAATTACCTTACTATAGTGAATTAGCCAATTAAATTCTTTAAAAATTTGTTATAAGCTTATAACAAAGTTGATATTCAGATTTTAGAATTTGTTATATCAAGAGTTCACTATATATTTGATACTGAAAATGTTGACATAGTTGATATAGTTAATATAGTTAATATAGTTGACATTTTTGACATATTTGACATATTAAGAAATAAAAATAAAATAAAATAGGAAAAAAAGTAAATTCACAAAGATTTGATCACACAACTAGTTAAGAGTTGTTAATTTTATATAGCCTGCTCTTTATTACAAGTTCTAAGCTATTGTATTTATATATTTCAAAATACATACAGTGAACTCTTGATATAAGAAATTCTAGAATCTGAATATCAACTTCGTTATAAGCTTATAACTAATTTTTTAAAGAATTTAATTGGCTAGTTCACTATAGTAAGGTAATTTTAATATATTTGATTTAAAAATTCGCTATATCAAGAGTTCGCTATATCAAGGTTTGACTGTATATGTATTAACAAATTAACTAAATTATTATAATAAATTATAATTCTTAGTAGAATACAGCTTTTATGAATCTTAGTAATACACAAATTGCTTTTGTGAATCTTTATGAAAACTACATCAGTTTTAGCAAAACTTAGTAAAGTTATTACATAAGCTAAAAGAGTCATCATTCAAACATTCTGTCTAATTGTAATAATTTACCAAAATCATATGTTACATGTTAGCACTATCATAATTAGCTTATTACAACTATTTCAAAACAAGTTTTTTATTTGATATTTCTAAAAATGTTTATAAAAATTTTATTAATAATAAAAATGATCAGTAAATTTATTTATACCTAATACTAAAATATGAAGATTGCTGATCTATTTACATATAACAAAACTTTTAAATTCAATTATTTTAAAATCATAATTTTATATTTTAAATCTTTTTTTTTTAGAATTAAAAAATGTTTTCTTTAATAAAAAATTATAGATTTTTTTTAAACTAAAACTATTTCTTTTTAATAAATAAAATCAGTATATAAAATTTATAAATATAATAAGTACATATTTTAGGTATACATATATTATAACATAAAATATATATAAATTATAAAATAGATAAATTATAAAAAACAAAAAATTTTATATAAGAAATTGTATTATTTTTTTTATTAATAATAAATTTATAAACTTATGCATAGGGTTGGGAAGTACAGTGTTAATACAATGATTAGTACAATTAGTACAGTTAGTACATTATAATAATTAATATAAAAATTTAGTATAAGTATAGTATTAATTTTATCTAGTACATACAAAATTCCCAACCCTGCTTATGCATATAATTTTTAATTTAGATTTTATATACTAAGTAAAAAGGTATATTTTTTTGAAACCAAAAAATATTTCTTTTAATAAAAAAAAAGTTTTCAAGATTTTTTTTTAAAATTAGATTCAAATCATATTCAGATTTAAGATTTAAATTTATTAAGTTTAAATTAAATCCAATCTGATTGAATTAATATATATAAAATACTAATTGAAGGATAGTTTTTATGTGTCCTAGACTATCTTTCTTTTTATCTTACTATTGGTTGAATTTAATGTCATAAAAGATCATCATCGGATGTGGATTATTTTTCATCCAATCAAAAGTGTAAACTTAAACTTAAATGTTTGTTACTCAGATCAACACTACCGTGGACTTTTTTAGTAGTCTGCAAAAATTAGAGTTGAAAATATATTGCATTTGTTGTTTTAATGGAAATCTCTGACAAAATTCGAATAGTTGTAGTGGGAGATCCTGGTGTGGTAACTACTTTCGTTCATACAACTGTTTTTAACCTTTATGTAACTTTATATAGAACGTTTCTGAAGAGTAGAAATCGAATTTTAACTTTGTTCCTATTTTTTTTTTATTTTTTTTAAAAAAGCTTGATCTAAACCATTTACGTTTTTTTCAACTATTGTCCTTACACTTTAGGGAAAAACGAGTCTAGTTCATATACTTTGTCATAATGAAGCATTAAGGCATCCTTCATATACAATCGGATGTACGGTTGACGTAAAGGTTTGTACGTTGTTCGTACGTGTTTTCCATTCTTTTATTATGAATTTAATCATCATATGCATCTGAAAATAATTAGATTCACGTTAATGCTCGCGCACACAAATCATATTTCGTAGAATTTATTGACGTTGGAGGGTCTTCCAAGCATAAATCTTCACGTAATATGTTTTATCATCAGATAAATGGCATCATATTAGTACATGATGTTAGTAACAGAAAATCGTATTATAATTTATGGAATTGGATTTCCGAAATCATAGAATCTGAAGGATATAAGGAATTTGAAAAGTCAAGTAGTTTGGGGTCCAGTTGGAATGGCAATGGCAGTGGTTGTTGGGGGGCCGCGAGTGGAGGTGGAAGTAATACGTTGAACTCAAACCTTAATGGAAATATAAATGGATTATCTTCCAATGCTTATAATGGTTATAAGAAAAACGGTATTTACTTTCGAATTATATAGTTTAATAAACATTCGAGTACGTTTACTTAACAAATTTATATTTATCATGTAGAAGAATTTAAACTGTCCTTAAGTGAACGATCTTTGAATATCCCTCTTTTAGTGGTTGGAACTAAAGCGGATCTTGTTAAACATGAGCTAACAGGACGGCAACGACGATATAGTATTATCGATGAATTTGGTGGTGATTGTGTAAATTTAGTACGTTGTCATCTTTTTTTTAATTAAAAAAAAAGAACAAGAAAAAAAGGAACTTTTGATCTCACAAAATTTATCAATTCAATTTCAATCGTATATTACAATTTTAATTTAAAGTGCGCCGTAGCCCCTACACAATTCGCACAAAATTCCATAGCAGTGGATAAGATCAATTCATTTTTTGATCAAGTCATAGATAAAAAATATGGAATTACTTTAGATCATTTACCAAGTCCAACGTTAGGAACCTTTGCAGCTTCATCATCAACCTCTTTATCAACGGGAGGGATCATTACAAACAGAGAAGATCGAAGGCGTGGGTTACAAAATGTTGTAGTATCGGGAAGTAATTCGTCAAGTCATAGCATAATAAATGGATTACCAAGTCCTGGATTACCTCCCAGTTATATTACACAAAATAGTGTTAATACGAATAGGTTAGGGGTTAGTATAACAAAGGATTTCTCTCCAAGGAAGCAAAGTTGGAATGGGTTCAGGTAAGTTATTTCTTTTTTCTTTTTTTATATATATATATCGGTAAATGAGGATCCAATGATGCATACCAAATTTAATCGATTCCGTTTGCTCATAGAAATCCCGCAACATATTCACATCAGCCTATAACAAATGATGATATAGGAATTAATAAATTATTAAGGCCCACCTCAAATAATTCAAGAGAATTTTTAAATATTAAGTCATTAAAAACTTCTAATTCTTCATCGAATTTACGAGACATTTCATCATCACTGTCATCATCTGGTTCATTATTACGATCAAGTTCTGCTTCAAATTTACGTGAAAAAGCAGAAATTGTTGGAAAAGTTAACAGAAATAACGGAGAAAGTGGCACAACTTCGAATATGTAACAAATAATTCTAATTTTCATTATCAGTGAGGGAGTTAAAAAAGACAATAAAGTGGAATAAGATTAATTTTTTTTAAGGCCAAGTTTACTTATACGGTATAAAAAATTAAAGCATCTAGATTAGTGTATTATTTATTAGCATAGTAATTGTAATGTAAAATTATTTATCTCGAGATTCATACCAAAATATATTAAAAAATTACCTTAGCAATAAAAGAATTGCAAAACAAAACAATAAATTAATAATGAAATTAGGTATGCTGTAATAAGGATAGATATCTTAAAAAAGGGGAGATCTAAAATGGCAATATCTTTCTCAAAAAAGTTTAGAAATTTGGGAGAAATCGCCTCGTAATAATGATGTGATTCACACAATAAGCACAATAATTTCTAATTTGCGCCTTCTCTTTTTTTTTTTTTTTTTTTTTTTGACAACACATGGAGGCGGAGAAATTTTTCCAACAGTCTGTAATACAACATCAGTACCTGAAACAATCTAAAAATAAGATGCGACTTTTTTTTTCAAATGGAGTAACACATCCCATTAAAACACTGAGAAATTCTTTGTTTGAAAAACCGAACATTAATTTCATTATGAAGTTCTGTTTGAGATCTTCTCGATGTGTTTGTGCATACAATCGATGTAGATAAAGAACTTTCTTTTTATAAGGTTCACGAATCATCAACTATAGTTTTTACATCATAATGCATTATCGAAATATTTTTTAATAAAATTCAAAAGAAAGTCATTCAAAGATGGTACATTAATAAATTTTAAAACTATGAAGGGATTGTTCATTTATATGTCTACTTATATCAATATAATATAATATTATAGTACTGAGTCAATCCTGAGTTTACAAATCGCTATTTAAAATTATATGAAACCAAATTGACGGCAAATTTTTTTAATTTCCGAATTCACCTTTTTGACTTTATTTAACAATTGTTTCTCCGCATCTTTTTTTTTTAAAAACCCGAAATGCTAAGCACAGTATGTTTTTGTTTCATCATCCATCGCGTTTTCCGTTCCGTTAGTGAAAGTAGAACATTCGAATATTCATTTGCAAATAAATTATTCGAATTCAAGTTTTTTTGATATTCGAAATATCGCAAAACTTACTTACCTAAGGGACTTTAATCTACAAAGAGAGACGATTCTTTAAAGCAGAGAAATCATTTCGACATTTTAAATGATTTTCGAGGTACGAAATCATTCGACATTTGAGATTATATCAAGAGTTCATTATATCAAAGCGAGACTTATGATTAAATGGGTTTTTGTTGATACACGGAAACCTGTTTATTGAAAATAAATAAAAAAGCAAACATCTTCAGGACATATCAAAAATGGAATTATGAATAAAGTTCTTCTTTTGGATAATTCCTTTATTTTAAAAAAAATATCTTCAATTGTTTTGAATAAATTTTCGGCTGCAGCATTCGTAGAACGAATTTCTTAGAAGAAACAGAATTCGGATCATTGTTTTCTATTAATAGCTTTTGGATTATGATTTCCATTTTTGATATCACAATAAATGAATCTTTTTGAGTATAGCGTTCCCAATAAATATATATATCATATATCATATGAATTACGCCATTTTAATTGTGGTTATCTTGCGAATTATTGTGAAACTTGTGGATCAAGCCTATGTCACACATGCATGCTATTATAATTTAAGTTTTGAATTGATACCTATGAATTTTTTTCGTTGTGTTCGTTGTGATAAAATGTGTAAATGGGAAGCAATTATTTATATAAAAAAGGTTATTATTATAACATCGTATAACAATATTTGTTTTGTTTACCTAACCTGATTACAACATAACATAGCCGAACCGAGTATTTATAATGAATTTGACTAACAATAAAATAACCGATTTCTGTGTTTATTTTTCTTTGTTTTCCTCATTTTTTTTTGTTGTTACATACGGTTCTGTGTGATCGACATCACAAAAGGCCAAAGCATCGAAGAGGCGCAGTATCTCGGAAAAAAAACGATGTCCGTTTTCTGTGATGAGAGAAAGAAATTTAAACAATCGCATAATCGCAATTTATTAGCTGATTTATTTAACAATCGGTTAGCCGAAAAACATTTAAACAACAAACGATATCACGATTGGTTAATTCACTAATTAACCACCTTAATTTGAATCTAGATTTTTTACAGCCTCAAATCTCGCGAACCCTTATGTGATCATGGCACCTAGGGAAAAAAAAAAAAAAACGAGAAACAAACTCGTTTAAAATTAGATCATTTCGTTTATGCAATTACGTATACAAATTATTATATATTGACCAGTATTTAGCGCGCATACATACCTTGCCTAGTTTCCGCAAAAAAATGAAACAGTGACTTTCCCTAACAGGAAAATAGAATTATATTCCAAGAAAACCAATTGTCATTTAACTATCTATTATTTTATCTTCAGAATTAATTGTTCCTGAAATGATTTGCGGATATTTGCGGAGTTTTGGAGCAGATAAGAAATGAAGTGGCGCTTTTGTTACCCAATAACACCTCACAAAAAATGATAATTCTCTTGAATTTTGTTTCTTTTGCTGATAAAATTCCAAGAACCCGTTTATTTTGAATGTTTATTATAAAACCCCCCAAAAAAGGTTATTTACCTAATCGGAGTTAATTATAACGCGTTTCGAATAATTTGATATGCAAGTTTTCAATGAAAAAAAAGTGATGGTTGTAATGTAACAAACAAAGGGATTGTGCATTTTGTTTTTTAAACTACTGCTAACAAAAAAAAAAAAAAAAAAAATAAAAAAATATTATATTTATAAATAACAATGACGTAGTTAATTTATTCTAGATAATTATGCAGGTTTAAATACTTGTTACCTTCCTTATACTTTTTAATATATCATAAACTTTGTTATAAAAAGATCCAAGTTCAACCTTCATCAAACAAAAAAAAAATCCCAAAAAATTAGTTTTTTATTTTATTTCTTTTTATTATTTCTTCGCCTCTTTTTTTTAACAAGAAAAAGAAATGGGATTGTTCACATTTTCAAAACATGATATCACGGCCACTATTGCCGAATTCCTTGGAACGGCATACTTTGTATTTATGGGTATGTATTTGATGCATCACGCGTTTCTCCTCCTCAATCCCCAGACCACTTTCTAAGAAACTTTTACTCAATAGGTGTTGGGGGCGCAGTAAGCATCCAGACCGTTACATCTCAAGGAACTGGAGCATTGTGAGTTTTTTTATTATAGATTATCTTCCCTCAAAAAAGGGTTTCGTTCTAATTATGTGAATTATTTTTTTGTTTTAGGAATGTTCTTGCTATCCCATTCGCTTTTGGTTTTTCACTTTTCGTTAATGTATTTATTTGGGCACCCGTCTCTGGAGGAGGTAAATGCCATTCTCTCGCATAATCTTGTTCAAAAATAAATTATTTTTATTAATATATATATATATATTATGCATTGTTTATCACATTTCTCTAGTGCTTAACCCATCTATTACGATTGGTTTAATGGCTTCAAAAAATATATCAATTGTACGAGGCGTCATGTATATAGTAGCTCAATTATTAGGAGGCTTAGTAGGAGCCTGTTTTATTAGTTTGGTTCAACCCAAGGCTTTCTTTGAAGGAGCTGCCATAAATGCTGTCACCGATCTCGGTCTAGGAATTACAACGGCTCAAGGACTATTTTTGGAAATGTTTACGACATCAGTATTGACAATGGCTGTTCTTATGTTGGCAGTTGAAAAACATGGACAATTCATGGCACCGTTTGGTATTGGAATGGCTTTATTCCTTTCTGCCTTATGTGCTGGTCCATACACTGGTGCTTCCTTAAATCCCGCTAGAACTTTCGGTCCTTCCGTTGTTGCTGGTAAATATGGTCCGAATCATTGGATATATTATGTCGGTCCCACTTTAGGTAGTTTATTAGCAGCTGGTTGGTGGAAGTTATTGAAGGTCATGCAATACGAGAAGGCTTCCGGCTCCAATGATTCTGATGAAAATCGTACCCCTGAAAAACATGATTCAATTGCATAATTAAAAAAAAATATATATATAAAATAAAATAAAAAAATATATATTTATGTATATATTAAATCACATTATATCAACCTAATTCCCACCTTTATATCTAAAACTTTGTATTTTATTACTTCAATTCCATTCGCCTATTAAAAGTGAACCTTTTGTTTCTATTATATAATTTGTAATTTTTTTGGTGAATTTTCAAGGAAACTGATTTACTTTTACACGAATTTCAAGCTAGCTAAATTAGTTTTAATAAAATTTAGATTTTTTCCCTTATTTGTTTGGTGCGATATTTCCAAAAAGGAGCATTTTAAATAAATATTTGTAAAGCTTTTTCTACCTTTGACAATTAAAAGTACTGCGCCGGATGTTCATCTTGTAATAAAGTCTTTTTTTTTTCGCACGAGAAACAGAAATTTAAAGTTTGTAGTTAATTATGGATAAATGGGAAAATTAAAATTGATTGGCAAAATTTCAGCTGATAAATAAATATAATTTTTTTGATCCATAAAAGGTTAATGTGGTGTAACAAGATTTAATTATAAATATCGATTTATACCTTTTTTTTACATTTCATTTTTGTTGTATTTTATTTTATTTTATTTTTACAGGATATAAAGCTTTTCGTTTTTACTTGATGTATACTTTATTTAGCGGGTTACATGAATACCTTACAAGAAGAGAAGAATTTTACGTTATCATACTTGGACTCGATAATGCCGGTAAAACAGTAAGTAATGAAATATCATTTCTTAATAATTTTGTTTTATACGATATTTCATATTACCATATTTTATTTTAAATTTTTTGACTTGTAGACTTTATTGGAACGAATCAAATCCTTATTTCTAGGAATTGTCGGCTTATCACCGGACAGAATTGCTCCTACTGTAGGGTTAAATAGTAAGTTCATTAAAATTTTTAACTTCGTTTCTTTAAATTCGAATTATTGACTTACTATTTCGCTTTGGATTAACATTAGTTGGAAAGATAGATATAAATCGTACAAGATTAAATTTTTGGGATTTGGGAGGTGAAAGGGAATTACATGGTATTTGGGAGAAATATTATTCGGAATGTCATGCTGTTATATTTGTAGTAGATTCAACTGATAAAGGACGCATTGAAGAATGTAAAGAAGTGTTTGGTAAATGATAAATTATCTTTGTCCTCGGTTTATCTTTTTTTTTAAAAAAAAAATAATAATAATAATATTCCCAACATTTATTTTTTTTTATATTGGTCAATAAACTAGAAAAATTAATTACCAATAGTGAAGTAGAAGGGGTTCCTGTATTAATGTTGGCTAATAAGCAAGATTTACCAAATTCATTAAAAGTCGAAGAAATTAAGGAACTCTTTAATAAAATCGCTTTGAAATTGGGCGCTAGAGATTCTAGAGTTTTGCCTGTATCTGCTTTAGAAGGGTAGGTATTAATTATATTATATTATATTTATTTATTTAAAATATATTTATTATTGTTTCAATCAGACTTACTCGTTATTATTGATTTATCTTCTTTAGGACTGGTGTAAGAGAAGCTATAGATTGGTTATTTGTAAGGATACAAAGAAATAAACAAAATAGATTACCTATATTTAAATAATTTTTTATACAAGTATGAATATTAAATGGCAGATGAATTTTTTTTTTTTAAAAAAAAAAAATTATATTTAATTAAGTTAATGATTTATTTTATTCTAATAATTAAAAAAGAACAGACATTTTTATCAAAGTATTACTTAGTATACTTGATATATATTTTTTTTTTTTATTTAAAGTAATATAATTTTGTAAGAACTAATTTTATTTGTAATATATTGGGATTTATATATTTATATATTTTAATTAATTTAAGCATCATTTTATTTAGTTTTATAATAAATTTTATAATAAGTTCATAATAAATTTTAATAATAATATTAAATAAGAAAAGATTCTAATAATTATATATTTCTTTTTTAATTCTCCCTTACAATAAAGCAAATCTTTTTAATGTTTAGAAAATTTTTATGATAAATAAAATAATTAAAAAAAAAATGTTAAAAATTATATATTATAAATAAATTTTTAAACTTTATTATATTAACATTTTTTTTTTATTAGTAATTTTTGTTATTAATAAATATTTTAATTTATTTGAAATAATAATATTAAATCCAAATATATATTATTTTAAAATTCATATTTATTTATTTAAAAGAATTAAAATTAAATTTGTTTATTATTTTACTATTTTATAAATAAGAAAAATAATTAAAAACCAATAAAAAGATATTTTTAAAGATCTTTTTTAATTTTAACAAAAAAATTAATAAAATGTTTAATTTAATATGATTCTAAACATTTCTTATTAAAGCCTATTCGACTTTCTGAAAGGTGGGTTTAGTTTCAGATAATTGAATTTGTGTACTTATAGTGTATAAAGTATATTTGTATCGCACCTTTCTATATTGTAGATAATTTTGTTTAATTAAATTTTTTCATCCCTATTGTAAATGAAAGTATCTTATACTTGTGATTATCTTTATAACTCTGGCAAAATTATGGTAATGCCTGTATTTGACCAGAAGAATATCGACAATATTAGAAGATTAGAAAGCGTTTTTCTTGTACTAATTATGACAAACCTACTGCTACAGCTTATAAACGGTGTGCTAAACATATTAGAGGATACTATGTGATGCAATGTTATAATAAATTGTGAGATAAGGTTTAGAGATTAGACTTAATAAAAGGTGAGACTTAACATATATATATTCTAATTTTGCGAAAAGAAGTAAGACTTAGAGGTGAAATTTAACATATATACCCTAGAGATGTATTTTTTTTGTTTTAGGATTTGTGTAAAGAAAATAAGAAGAAAAAATAAAGAAAACAGTTAAAAAATCCACTATAAACTACCTTTAAAGGCTTACCTTAATGTATTTCTAAAAAAAAGTAAAAAAAAAAGAAAACAGTTAAAAAAACACCAAAATATCACCTTTGATTTACTTATCTTAATGTATTCCTAAAGAAAATAAAAAAAGATAAATAAAAAAGAATTAAAGCCATCTAAAAGTTATTTCTGATTTGTTTACCTTAATTCCTAAAATAAGAATTTTCTAAAAAAACAAGAAAAAAGAAAGGAAAATACCACAAAAATCACTTCTGATTTACTTATCTTAATTCTAAAATAAGAATTTCCTAAAAAAAAAGAAAATTGTCATTAAAAAAAAAAAAAAAAGGAAAAAAATTTATTCAAAATATTTCAAAAGTTTATCAGTTTTATATTGTAAACTGAACTAAAATTTCAATTAATTCAAAATTTAGATATTATTTTTTACTTATCATAAATGCTTTAAATGGAATGATATAGAACCCCTTCAAAAGAAATGATTAGGGTTCCGCAAAATCAAATCAAATCAAATCAAATCAAATATTAAATATATATATATATATATATTTTTAAAACACAATAAAGCATTTATTTATTAAAAAAACATTTTCATAATATGAATTAAAAAAAATCCCAAAATGGATATATAAAGTAAAAAATAAAGTAAATGCTACCTAACCTTTGTCAAAGGCATACAGTCAACCCTTGATATAACGAATTTTATGTCCTGAACTTCAACTTCGCTATAGAGCTATAGTGAATTTTTTAAAGAATTTGATTGGCTAGTTCGTTATAACGAGGGTAAATTTAATATAGTTGTCCAAAAAATTCGTTATATAAAAATTCGCTATAGAGAGGTATGACTGTATTGCCTTTTCCAACTAAATTAATTGGTTGTCTCATTACATTCAATTTAAAAAAATTAATAAATTCATATTATAAAAATTTTTTTTAGTTAAAATTTTTTATATTTATATTTTTATATTTAATAACATTTACATAATTAGAATTTTATATTTTTTTCAAAAAGAAAAAAAAATATTATTCTGATACTCTTTTTTTTATTATTATTAATCATTATTATTTCTCAATTTATACTAAAAATTTATACATAAAAAAAAATTAAAACATCAAATTTTAACCAACTTTTAAAACACATTATCGCATGAATTGTATCCTTTACAAAAACCCTTAAAATTCTAACGATATCGATTCGATATCGCAATAATATCATAATGATATTATTGTGATATCACATCGATATGAAATCAATATCGATGTGATATCGTTATGATAAGAATTTGATAATTTATGAAATATATTACAAATTTGAAAATATTATTATTAT